ATTAATGTAAATATATATATATATATATATAGATACTGTTGTGTCTATATATATCTTTAACCTCCCCATAAGTGCGAAAAATCTAAATATCAACAATAACCGGTTTTGAATTCTTTTCACACTTTAACAATACAAAATGTGAATTTCCAGCGGCACTCTTTCAAAGTGTAATTCTCATATAGCCTTTATCATTCCAGAGTAAAGCAGGTGAGAGGAGTTGGAGAGTAAAACGTAATTGTTTTGTTGAGAAAATATAATATACGATTTGCGTAAAGATAGTCTAGGTATATGAAACGTTATTGTACGGACATTCATAACGATATCAACCAAAGATGTACGTATTTGAGATACAAACTAAATTCACGAAGAAATAAAAACGTACCAGATATAAAACCAAACAATGTTTACTATAGTTAGCGAAAGATGCAATGAATTCTGTTTTATGTTTTAAACATTCGGTCCAATCTAGCCAGAAGCTTGTATGCAGTATGAAATTGAATGTGGAAGCTTTTGTGTCCTTTGTGTAAATCTCAGTGGCAGGGATACGTGCGTGCATGGTAAGTTTTACTTATCTACTCTAGTAGAGGATTCTTCCTACCACCCATTTTTTTCTGGTTCCAGATCTATTGAGTACTTGCTAAATATGCGTATGATTGCAATGGGTCCATCGTCAGCGTCTGGTGTAATTTATACACATAACACAAACACATAACAGTAAATATATGTATATAAGCATATGTTTCATATGCCCCCCATACCTATTACCTATCATACACAAATATATATTTCATCTTGTGGCAAATGATAATGGATTTTATAATGACGGTAATACGGTAACATCGCTCACTTCGTTTTCTAAAGTTTTCTATTTTCAAATTTTACTGTTCCTAAGTTTGAGCGGGCCTAAATGGCTGTTGGTACTATTCAACTCAGGTTACAAAGGTGAAAGACCGTACAATTATACGCAATCAAACTTCCGTGTTTTGCTGGATGTTTTATATAACTTATACATTACTAGTTAGACGCTATTAACCAACAGTCTTATACTTTCATTGAGGTTAAAAAAACATAATAACAACCACGCATACAGAGTTTTATGTTTGCTTTTTAACCTGGGTTCTAGATTAAACATGCTTAGAATCTTGTTTCAATAGTCTTCTATTTTTCGTAAAGTATGCAACGAGAAAACAGCTGAAATTGACCAGATATGATTCGGTTTAAGTAAATATATGTTATGTACAAATCAATTACATGGTCCCTTGTATCCTCTATCTTCTTATAGATTGTTTACCTTCTTCTTTAGTAACTATATTGTTAACATTGAAGTTTGATGATGATATTTAGAAGGTCATAAATATTTTGAAAAGATTCATTTTTGTTTATGTATCAGTACGAAGTGAATACGAGCTTACATTAACATTTAACAAGAAACTTGTATAGTTCGATAAAAAAAAAATGCTTCACAATTATCGTGAAGCAGTTCTAACGAACAAAATGTATTTCATAATAGTAACTTTAACAAAGTTAATACCTATATATATATATATTATTTTGTAAGTGAAGTAGTACAGAAAGAGTTAAATAAATGCAGTCAAGTATTCAAAATTTTCTAGATCTCAAGAAAACTTAAAAACCTTTTAAACATATAATAATTTAAACACGGATTAGGTTATAAAATAATGGCTATACAATACCTCTTACATTGCAATATATATTGTCACTTATTTGTTTTACGTCCGATACTATACGTTTGTAGATTCCGCTCGTTTGCACTCTGGGGGGACTCTTGTTTTTACCGCCATCTATCAGCAAGAGACGGCGGAACGGCGAAAATACCGTGCCTTAGAGACCCTAAACATTTGTGTCGTCGAGACTTTTGTCGTACATTCTAATTAATGCAAATATTGATTTACCTAAAACAGCGAGGACAAAAAGTCTTGCATGTCTCTGGGTCATTTGTCGCTCCCTGGGAGAACCGCCATGGAAGTGATCACTCGTTTTCTAGTGTCGTGAATAATTCAGTAATCGTATGGACACTCTTCCAAACAGCTCGATAGATTAGAGTTAAAATTGTACAACCGCGCCGTAAAGAGCTCACGCACGCCGGACAATACGTACGCTCTCCGTCAGGCTTGTTGTTGCACTTTGGATGACTGAGTTTCTGTAAGGATTGATGTCACAGATTAGACGTTTTGGAATTTACTAAGTGTCAAAATAACACGCTCACACTTTGTATAGTACTAGAAGTAAAATACTGTTTCTCACGTTACATGCTGTTACCAACTTTATATTACAGAGAACGTATTTACACTTTGTTTAGTATGCAAGATAAAATATTTTTTCTCACGTTACATGCTGTTACCAACTTTATATTACAGAGAACGTATTTACACTTTGTTTAGTATGCAAGATAAAATATTTTTTCTCACGTTACATGCTGTTACCAACTTTATATTACAGAGAACGTATTTACACTTTGTTTAGTATGCAAGATAAAATGTTGTTTCTTACGTTACATGCTGTTACCAACTTTATATTACAGAGAACGTATTTACACTTTGTTTAGTATGCAAGTTAAAAATACTGTTTCTCACGTTACATGCTGTTACCAACTTTATATTACAGAGAACGTATTTACACTTTGGTTAGTATGCAAGATAAAATGTTGTTTCTTACGTTACATGCTGTTACCAACTTTATATTACAGAGAACGTATTTACACTTTGGTTAGTATGCAAGATAAAATGTTGTTTCTTACGTTACATGCTGTTACGTTTAAAAACGTACACTAGTCTCCAAGGATCGAGAACATACTTACACTTTTATTGATGCATGTTATTGTTTTACGTCTTACTTGTTGTCGCCGATAATATATTAAGAAACGTAATAATATGAAAATGCTTTTCCCTCTAATATTCGAAACATTTTGTTTGAAACTTCATGGTGTGTGACATTGACGAACTGCCATTTTGTCGTGAGGTGTAATTCTAACAAACACACTTCCTGATATTGAGAGGGTAAGAATTTACATCCGTAAAGGTGTAAATGTGACAATTAAAAACAAATCTATTACTTTTTAAGTTGCACGTGTACCACATATATGGTGAGAACGTGATATTTTATATTTCAATTTCTAATGACGATCGAGTGTGATGATAATACTTCAACATAAATTTCTATAATAACCCCACATAATTCTGGTGTGATTTTACACCCGGTATGAATTCACACTTTTCTGTGTGTAGTTCCTGTATCGGTAGTTTACATCCATAAAATTGCAAAATTACATATTCTTTTTAGTCTATGGCATAGAGAAAATATTTCATATTTTACTTACCTGCTCAGACAGTTTATTATGCTGTATAAGTGATTTGATCTTCATGTTTTCTTTCACAAGCAGTAAGTTATGTAGACCCTGAAAAAACAAACAAACAAACAACACATTAAAATTCGATGACGAGGAACCCACTTTGAAACTAATAATGGCTGGAGACGGCTTGAATGGGTAATGAAGAAAAACTTTGATATAAGTTTAACATAACAGCAAATGTACAACGTTTCGACAAGGTTTTGTCATCAACACATTAATATATACGTACGATTATGTTCAAGCATCGTACGAATAAATATTATGAAAACAATTCATAAGCACAATGTTGACCGGGAAGATTTTCGCTGTAGTTCTATAACAGCATGTTTTGTGAAAGATTAAGAATGTTTTCCATGACATTTCTGTTCATTCCACGTTTTGGACTTGGTTGATTTGGCGCGTTCCTCTAAATGATATTTAGAACTTTCAACCTTACCGATCGAGGCGTTTGTTAGACAAAGACACGAAATACTGCTTCAATTCTAAATTACAAATGAAATACTTTTTTTCACTTATAAAACGTATATTATTGTTTGGAAATAAGCAAAATAAAAACGTTTGAAATATATATAGTAAATCTTCAGCAACAAAAGCATATATTACAGAATTGTTTTATAATTCATTCATATAGGAGTAAGATTGGTGTTTTGTTTTTGGTAAAATTCAAAATTAATTATTAAAAAAAAACTCTCACTAATTTTTTATATATTTATATTGTGCACAAATTACTGAAGTCAGAAAATAAATATTATATAATTATATTTATATATAATATATATTATATATAATATAATATTATATTATATAAATATTATATATAAACATTATGTTTGATTGGATGGGTGTCACCATGTCCCGGATGAAGCTGTAGACACGTTATAAAAGTGACAGTTAATTTCGTTATTCGGTTCAAAGAGCCGGACAAATCACTTATAGCAATGGTTGCTGCTGGCTGATCAGTAATTCAGAATTATACACGGGTATATTTGAACCCTTGGAGATCTCTGACGTGACCAGTTAGTCAATGTGTCGCACAAGGTGCCGTTCGGGTTGAAAACACCGAATGTGTCCTTTTGTTTGTTTATGTGTTTAACACTCGTTAGTTCAACTTGAAGTAAGTTTCATTTCTTTCCACGGTTGTACTAATTAACATAATATTTAAAAACAAACTACATATTTCACTAATTAGCGTTCACTAAGATTCAAAATTCCTCACAATTTTAAGCTGTTACTATACAAATTTATCGGTATTACCATTTGTTTAAAATCTCAGTTCTTTATATTTCAGAACCACAGTTATTCAAAATGACATTTTGATGTTTTATTATGCTTCCCGTACTGAAATTCATGTCTCCTGGTGGTTTAGAAATTATCATGCAAGAATTCCATGTTCGATCCTAACGGAGGATACAGTTACCATTGTATAGCTTTAGGTTAAAAGAAAATACTTAACTTCGCCATAAATGAAATGTCTGAATCATAATTTATACAGTTCTTTAGTATTCTAATCTGTTTTATCGAGTGGTTTTTATTCACATTTTATATTTCGATAACTACTCAGGTTATTCGGTAAAACATTTCCGAAATGCATCTTGGTAGATATGATTTTAGCATCACAATCAAATATCCATCTACCCAAATTTATTATAGCATTATGAATGTAGGCATCTATCCGCAACATATGTTTGCGTGTCTACTTGTAATGTATACATGTGTGTGTGTATGTGTGTGCATATACATATATTTGCGCATGTACATTCAATTTGCAATGCACGTTTAACTGTCACAAATAATGCAATGTTTCAGAGTCCCTGTCTGAGTCGACAGTGTTTTTGTTTTTCGTGTTATATTTATTCGCTGGTATTCATTTGCTGTATGTTCCTTACATTTTGGTTTTGGATAACTATCGGTATCATTACGACATTATTATATATATTTAACTTCAATACGTTCTCAGACAAACGAAACAAACCTATGTGCATGATACAACAAAATATAATGAAAGATAAAAAGACACAAACTTACAGCATATAAAAAAATACACAATATCATCTCATTTCTAATATATGTAGCAACGTATATTTAAAAACCTGAACATGTTAGTTGCAGAATCGTTTATATATATATCTTATTTAGTAAACCAACAATACAATCTTCCTCATTATTTATTGGGTCTGTTATCTTTTGAATATTGGAAAATGATCCCATTCACTAATCAAATTGCATTTATAGATAATTTATCCAGAATCTTCATGATGAACAAACAAAGTTAAAATGGGCAACAACTGCCTAGTTCAGAGTGAAGTGACACTAGAGGACTCATCTATAAAATCAACCTGAGTCATCCAAGACTTTCCCAAAAGGTGTCACTTTAAAGCATGCAGTTGCTGCACGTTTTAACTTTGTTCATCATTTTAGACTGTTTAAACATTGGCTTTGATCAGTCTCAAAATCCGTTCTTGGTTGATCAGTCGTTTTTACACAAATATGCTTAATCTTGTTTTATTCTATTTTTTTGTATATGTGTAGACTACATTTTGAACTGATCATATATTGTGGTTCATTTGTTTGTCTAGCGCATGACAACGTTAGCAGTGACTGAAAACAATAAGTTTTTTTATATGATAAATAAGTAAGAAATATCACATTATATAAAGTACTACATCCTGTAGTATTCAGGCAAATACATCAAAAAAGGATTAGTACTTCAAAATGTTTTCCTCACATGTCACATATTTTTAACGATATTATTAATACCCGCTTGTTTCAAATTTCACTAGCACTAAATTGATAAGTTAAATCGGATATTTTTTATACGTGATGAATATAACAATATTAAATGTCATTTTGTTGTGATTTCTAACCATCCTGGGCATCACGCTATTGGTAAAGATCAGTGTATTTGTAAACCACACACATATACACTTAAAAAAAATTAGAATATTGTTTATTATATACGAAGTATCCTGATAAACGTTTTAAGTTTAGTATCTGTCATTTACTGATATGCAGATGATATCTTATAGATTTATGCTAATGCTATCTTTGGATTATGTGAGGCTTCATCACTTTGAAACCGGCCCGGCATGGCCAGGTAGTTAGGGTGCTCGACTCGCAATCTGAGGGTCGCGGGTTCGAATCCCCGTCCCACCAAACATGCTCGCCCTTTCAGCCGTGGGGGCGTTATAATGTGACGGTCAATCCCACTATTCGTTGGTAAAAGAGTAGCCCAAGAGTTGGCGGTGGGTGGTGATGACTAGCTGCCTTCTCTCTAGTCTTACACTGCTAAATTAGGGACGGCTAGCGCAGATAGCCCTCGTGTAGCTTTGCGCGAAGTTCAAAACAAACAAACAAACAAACTTTGAAACTATACTGATGGTATTTCCTATAAGACATCGAAGATTGTCACTTCTTTCTTCGAATACAATTAGGGGTGAACTTATTAATAAATTTTATAGCCCACCAAAACTATGATATGTTTAACACGTAAATGAAAATTTAGAAAAAGTTCCCAAAGTTTTGTCTTTGTAAACGCTGAGATCCCGATTTTTATCAGTATCAATAGGAACCATGTAAGACCCTGGCTAATGAGTAGTTTAGCTCCGGACAACAGACTCACCTAGAAGTTGATCTTGGCTAATGGGTTCAGGTCCAAGTTTCATCTCGGCGTCTTTTATATAGAAAACTATAGACAGGACAAATGAACAGAAGTGACTAGTCATTGGGCTGTATCTTCAATTATTTCTAATTCTCGTTGACATGTTCCTCTCTCAAGTGTCAAGAGTTTCCTGATGGTGTCCGTATATTTTTTTTCCTTGAAGCGAAGATAGCGACCAGTGGTCAGGAGAACCAATCGTTTGGAAGACTCACGCTCCGTTGCTCACCTTCAAACCTTCATGACGCGGTATCTCTAAACGACATGTTTCAAATCTCTAAAGACGGTCTTGCATCGAGCAGAGGCCCCGGGTCCCGGCTAGAGAAACCTCTGCTACAAACGTAATAATTATGGGCCATTTCGCTCCAGAGACTAGCTGCAGTGCCGGCAGTACAAAGCTAGATCAAATTACTAGTTTCTTGCCGCCGGTACGTGTCTTTCTTGTAGCTCTGTTTCTGAGAGCTTCGCTATTGTTTTAAGCAGTCTCCGCCATATAAAAACCTTAGTGTCGTCAACAGGAAGTTAACTTCAAGAAATGGAGTTATTGCTATATGATGAAGTAAAAGAATAGACTTACATTTACAAATATTTTTTGGTTTGATTTGACAGAAAAAAAAGGTCATGTTTCAACCGTCACCCGCAGAGGAAACTAGTCTGTCAAAACATCTGAAGCCAACATACAACTATTCCAAGTCGCCCTGTGTAAATATAGAATATTTTATCTCGTATTTAATTATATGATATTATATGGAAGTGGATCTGTGTTTTGTACAAAAAAAACTTTTGAATTTGATAATTTCTGAATCCATCGTACATCTTAGAAGGACAAGTATCACAGATAATTTGTTTATTTAACTTCAATATTAAGTAATTTAACTTCATATAGTTTGACATTTTAGTTTAACTTGTAATTAAATTGCACATCAGATTCATATTTTATGACAATTACCCTGTTTTAAATAAGAAAAAAATCCTCAACTATTATTGTGGTTCTTGTTAGCGAGTGACTTCATAAAAACAAATTTAGCAAATTTTACAGATCACTGGTGACTTTAGGAAAAGAAATGAGGTAAATTTTACAGGTCACAGGTGACTTTATGACTTATGGTTTAAAATAAAGACGGAAAAATTACTGGCTTAAAAATATTAGATTAAACACAAAAACTAAAGAACTAGATGAATACATCATACCATAGCAATATTTATGTATTAAATCACCGCTACATTTATATATATACATATAAACACACTTATAGAACTTTTATACAACAGAGGGCCTTAAAGTGTGCACGTATTTGTATTTTGTAATTATTGCAAAGCTATTAAGGCTATCTGCCGCCATATCAAACTTTGAACTACTGACCTGAGGTAGTGCAGCCAGTTAGTATCACTATACCACGCCAAAGGATTGACTGTCGCTCTTGTAACACACACATATCAAAAGTGCGGGAAATATTCTGTGCCATCGGATTCTAGCGCGGCTCGCCAGCCCCGAAATCGAAAGCTGTGCTACAACGCCGCTCTGCTACAACGCCAACCTACCCATTAAAGTGTATTCACCATTCATTTTCAGCATATAAAGCAACGCGCTTAGTATTTTCTTGTTTGGTTTTCCTTGTAGCTATTTTGAGTTATTTCTCTACAATTTATTTAAATTACAAGAACCATATATGTACATAATTTCGAATTAATTGGTAACGACAAAATGTATTGGCCTATCTGTTTATTTCTGCTTGAATGATGAATGTTCAGTGGGAACTGATACGATTTTATACTGAACATCCATCATTCAAAGACCAGGTGGATTAGCTGTAAACTTAGAAAACAGTTAGAAACTGATACGTTTTTATAACTATTCTAATTGTTTTCTAAGTTTACAGTTAATCCAACTTGTCTTTGAATGATAGATGTTCAGTAGGAACTGATACGTTTTTATAATTATTCTAACTGTTTTCTAAGTTTACATTTAACCCACCTTGTCTTTGAATGATAGATGTTCAGTAGGAACTGATACGTTTTTATAATTATTCTAACTGTTTTCTAAGTTTACACTTAACCCACCTTGTCTTTGCTGTAGCTGCAACAGAGAGACTTCATTTGAAATATGTTCTTGAGCGTCGGTGATAACAGTTTGTTGTTTTCATAAAGACAAAAAATATTTTCTTATGCGATTGTAGTTAAATGAGAATGAAAATACCGATCTAATATTAGGCACTTATCAGGCTTTGCTAACGAAAGGTCAATGTGTATAATTTTGGATCTATTCCGTGTGAAATTGAATGAAACGCCAAGCTTGTCGAAATAGGGAACTTACATTAACAAAATGGAAATTTCTTGGAGAATAAAGCCATAATTCATTTCTAAAATCAAATCAGAAACCACCTGTAGCATAATATCAGTCATGAAACCGGTTTGTAGGTGTTGCTCAAAACATGTAATAGTTTTACTGAGTATAAATACACCAGACTAATAAGGTCTACATTGATATCTATCAATAGTAACTGATGGAAATACACCGGAATAATAAGGTCTACAATGATATCTATCAATAGTAACTGATGTAAACACACCAGACTAATCTTTTAGTCTGGTGTATTTATAACAGTTACTGTTGATAGATATAATTGTAAACCTTATTAGTCTGGTGTATTTCTATCAGTTACTGTTGATAGATATCATTGTAGACCTTATTAGTCTGGTGTGTTTACATCAGTTACTATTGATAGATATCATTGTAGACCTTATTATTCCGGTGTATCAGTTACTGTTGATAGATATCATTGTAGACCTTAGTCTACAATTATATGTATCAATAGTAACTGATGAGGTATGGCAGTTGCTTGTGATGCGATCTTCTGGGGTATTCAAGCTTCACTAATGCTTTTGTATGAGATTATAGTTGCTATTTCGAAGTGGAATACTAATTACTACAATATCTGGTCCAAATAGCAGGCTTGTTACTCAGTTAACATTACGTGAAGTCTCATCATTCTTAATGGAACCGATTCATTACGTTCAGGAAATACCCAGTTTTCACAAATCCATAAATTTTCAGCATAGATTTAATGAACTTACGACTGAACTGCGACTAGGAGAATATAGTTAACGTTAACCTCTATATGGAACTTAATGGAACTGATTTTTATTATAGACAGGAAATGTCTAGAAATCCATAGAACTTCAATTTAACCTTAATGATCTTACGCTTGCCTCTGTTGAGGGTGAAATTTTCGTCGTGCAAACACACAAATTATTGTATAAATGCAGAAATACTTAATGGCCATATTTTTTAGGCTTATAGCTTAATTTTTGAAAGCGACGAAAACGAACAAATGTGCTCAAAGAATACAAACCTGTTACTTAGAAGTCTTACATTAAAAATCACATAGAATAAGTTATAACTAAACATACTTAATTAGAAAGAAACGGGGTAGTAGGAAAATGTATTGACTTAAAAAAACCAGAAAAACTTGCTATCTAAAAAGAAAGAAACGTTTTTATTATGTTATTAAGCAAAAAATAATAGTACACTTCTCGTGGCCACATTAGTAAATTTTAACCCTTAAAATAACACATTTTTCTATTCGTATTCCACTTTTTATAGGTGTTTAAGAGAAGGTTTTTTTTGTCATTAAGATGGTATAAGCATGACATATAATAAAAATGCTTTATTCAATAACTGTTCTCACTACAAACCTCCATCTTTATAAGTCTAAGTTATTTTTTGTGTATTTCACACAATGCTTTACTTGACAACATATTTATAACTCTTAGAATTTTCTGTGTATTTCACACAGTCCTGCAACTGTCATCACCTTTATAACTTTCAGATCTTTTTTGTGTATTTCACACAGTACTGCAACTGTCATCACCTTTATAACTTTCAGATCTTTTCTGTGTATTTCACACAGTACTGCAACTGTCATCACCTTTATAACTTTCAGATCTTTTCTGTGTATTTCACACAGTACTGCAACTGTCATCACCTTTATAACTTTCAGATCTTTT